CCTCCCCCCCTCCTTCCACACTGTCTCCAGTGTACGTAACTATTTTCATTGCTTTTATGGTCTCCAATCTTTCAGTCTCTACAAAAGAGCATGGACAGTTGGTATATGTGAAGTGGAGACATACAATGTTTTTCATAGCCTGACTTGCTTCACTCAGCAATAAATCTTCCATAAGCATCCACTTTCTATCAAATGTCAGGGAGGGTCTTATTTTTAATTCCTGAATAGTATTTAATGGAGTATACGTGCCACAATTTTTCAATCTACTCATCTGTTTTTGGACATCTGGGTTGGTCCCATGTCTTCGCAATTATGAATAATGCCGCAATAAATACAGCGGTGTAAGCACTTTTCAGACTGATCATTCTACTGTCCTTTGAATAGACACCGAGGAGTGGAACTGTTGGATTATATGATAGTTCTATTTGTAGGTCTTTGAGAAACCTCTATATTGCTTTCCACAGTGGCTGGACCAATTTACAGTCCCAAAAACAGTGTAGGAGAGTTCCCCTTTCACCACAACCCTGCCATTTTTAATCTTCGCCATTCTGGACAGGGGTTGGGTGGTATCTCACTGTAGTTTCTAATCTGCATCTCTCTTATGATGAGGTATGTTGAGCATTTTTTTATATGCTTTTTGGCTGTTTGTATGTCTTCCTTAGATATTTTTCTTCAGCTCATTTTCCCATCTTTTAAGTGGGTTACTCATTTTTTTCCAAGTAAACCTCTTAAGTTTCCCTATGTGTTCTGTTTATCAGTCCCTTATTTGAGGCATAGTTTACAAAAATATTCCCACATTCCGAGAGTTGTCGATTCACACTAATTAGTGTCTCTTGCTGTGCAGAAACTTAATCTGATGTAATCCCACTTGTCTATTTTGGGGATTATTGCCTGTGCTTTGGGGGTCTTGCTTAAGAAGTTTTTGCCTACCCCAATGTCTCCCAGAGTCTCCCTAGTGTTTTCCACCAGTAGTTTTATAGTTTGAAGTCTTAGGTATAGATCTTTGATCTATTTTGTGTTGATTTTTGTTAATGGTGAAAGATGGAGGTGCACTTTCATCTTTTAGCAGGTGGATACCCAGTTTTTCCAGCACCATTTGCTAAAGAGGTGTTCCTTTTCCCACTGGATTGACTGGTACCCTTCTGTCAAATATCAGTTGGCTGTCTATTTTGGGGTTTATTTCTGGGGTCTTTATTTTGTACCATGGGTCCACCTGTCTGTTTTTGTGTTATGTCGTTTTTATTTTCACGGCTTTATAATGTATTTTGGCGTCAGGGAGTGAGATGCTGCCCACTCTACTCTTTTCGTGCAGGATTGCTTTGGCAATTCAAGGTCTTTTAGGATTCCAGACAAATTCTATGATTGTCTTTTCTAGAACTGCCATTTTGATTATATTAATTCTTCCAACCCAGGAACATGGAATGCCCTTCCACTTTTTTTTGTATCATTTTCAACATCTTTTTAAAAGATTTTTCATAGTTTTCCTTCTAAAAGTCTTTGATTTCCCTGGTTAGGTTTATCCCTAGGTATCTTATACCTTTTGTGGCTATGGTAAAACAGATTATTCTCTTCAGTTCTACCTTGGGTAGGTTGTTATTCTTATATAAAAATGCTATCCATTTTTGGATGTTGATTTTCTATCCTGCCACTTCACTGTTTTCATTTATTACTTTGAGCAGTTTTTTCACGGATACCTTAGGCTCTTCTAGTGTATACTGTCATATATCATCTGCAAATAAAGGTATTTTCAATTCTTCTTTTCCTGTTTGAATACCTTTTCTATTATTCTCTTTTCTGACTGCATTGGCTAAAATTTCCAGCACTATATCGAAAATGAGTGGAGAAAAGTACCAGTTTTTAGCAGAAAAAAGCTTTACCTCATTTAGTATAACGTTAGCTATAGGGTTTTCATATGACTTTTATCGTGTTGAGAAATGACCCGTGTATGCCAGTTTTGCTGAGTCTTAATCATGAAGGGATGCTGTGTCTGCCAATTGCTTTCTCTGCAACTACTGAAATGATTGTAATGGTTTTTATCTTTCCTTCTGTTAATACGATGGATTACGCTTATGGTTTTGCACATGTTGAACCAGCCTTGCATCCCTGGAATAAAACCTACCTGGTT